AAAAAAAAAAAAAAAAAAAAAAAAAAAAAGGGGTTCTGTACCCCGCGATTTTGAAAAAAGATGTTCCGAGTCGTCGAAGAGGGTTCCAATGCCCTGCCAAGTCTCCATCCTTTCTCCAGAGCTCCAGCCACGGAAGCGGGTCCATCGCAAGACCCAAACTGAAGTGGAGCCGCAATCACACAAGACAGCTCGGTCACCGCACTTGGGATGTGGCGATGCCTGGAGGATACAAAACGAGACAGATTGCGTCGTGCAGTTGTCCAAATCACGCACCTTTTCTGCGGGAATTTTTCCCAGAAAGATGGCAACAGTTTTGCCACAGAACAAGCTTCTCTGGAGTCATCTGCATTCGTTGTAATGTTGAACAGGTTTTCAACAAAAGACTCCTCAATATGGTCGTCACGCAACCCAGCATCAACAATTCTCTGGAGGAATTCGTAAACGTATAGCAGATGGATCCAGACCACTTCAACCAGTGGCTTTTTGTCCCCCGGCCCATAGAGCTTATTGTCAGTTTCTTTCTCTTCTTCATGAACATGTGCGGTGGGAGAAGGAAATGCCCTGAAAATGTTTGCACGGACCATGTTCATGATTTCGCTGACTGCATCTTCTGGAAGAGATTCAAGAGTAGGAACATAATCCATCAGCTCTTCAAGTGTATCATTCTTGTTACCGGCTCTAGCCATGGTCTCAGTTAATTCCTCGTATGGACGTCCGCTCTGTTTGAACTCTGTAAGAGATTTGTTGGACCTCCGGTACGCTACGAGGACGCTGAGGTCGAAAACTACCGAGCAGAGCCTCAGCTTTCTCATAAAAAATTCATGCCTTTTTTGTTGGGAACGTCTGTGATTCTTGGCAACATATCATCTTCCTTGTTTTCCGATCGTGAAAGAAACAGAAAGAAACGCTGGAAGTTACTCTCTCTTCTTTTTGCACAATGGTTTCTGCCCCTGCCAAGATTAAACCCCAACAGAAACTGAGTCTTAATTTGCAGGCACTTCGACCAAATACAATCCTTCTTCAACCGCCAAATCAAGAAACAAACGCAGAATCACTGCAATCTTTTCTTGTCTTTATTAAATTGGACACAACCCAGTTTTCCTCTACGAAATACAGAGCCAAGGAGGGGAATTTTCATCGAACTGCAATAAATTTATCAAATTGAACACAAACCCACTTTTTCTTTTCTTTATCTCTGCGCAGCTTCCTCGGGAAACAAACACAAATCCAAGAAGAAGGATGCAGAAGGATACGCACTTACAATCGAATTGAAACTAAACCTCTTCTTCTTTCTCCAGTTTTTCTTTAGCAACAAAAAGCAATCTTTCATGAAACATCAAAACATCCCTCATATAAGAACATACAGGGGAGAAGCAGAGTAGAAAATTGGCGGGAACCGTTGTAGTTTGTTATGGCGGAGCCACCAATCGCGGAGAAGTGAAATGCGAGGAATCCTACGTCGTTTTGTAGTCTTGATTAGACATAAATAAAATAAAATAAAATAAAATAAAAAGACAATTAAATTACTCATCCTCTAATGTAAGATTTCAATTTATTAACGGGCTTATTTATAATAACAACTGCAAATTAAAATTTGCTGAGGACTAAATCATCAAATCAAAGAAAGAAAGAAATCTAAAAGGGGGTCCCACGGTACATTAAAAACAAGCGGGTCCCACACCAAGAGTCCTAAACCTCGTCTAATTCCGTCTCACTAAGTCACTATATATAGTGAATGCACTCCTGTTTGTGACTCATAAAATCAAGTTATACCTTAAGAGTTAACTTTGAAGAATTACACCCATTCGACTTTCTAAGGTATTGTATTCATTCAATATATACTGAATGAATTTTGGAGGCGTCCCCTTTCTTTGCGAAGCTTAACCGCTTTCACTTTATCTTCTCACTGTTCTTTTCTTTCTTTGGGTGCATACATTCCAAGGAAGGTTGTACCGTTTCGTACTAGTCGGTATGGTCAGTACATATCGATTTTGGGGTGAATCAAAACGAAATAAGTTAAAATTTTGTTTCAGTTAAAATTTGGTAATTTCGGTCAAATTTCAGTGTACCGACAAAAATTTATGTATTGGTCAGTACACTGAAATTTAACTAGTATATTATGCAAAAATTAAAAAAAAAAAAAAAAAAAAGATTCCCTAGCCAAATCTCTCCTCTGTTCGCGCAAATCTCGGTTTTTCGTACAATTGCTTGGTACAATTCAAATTCAAATTTAAAAAGAGTAAATTTTATTTTTGGTTCTTAACTTTAATATTTTACATAATTTTCATCATTTAGTTTTTTTATGTACTTTTTTAGTATATTCTTCGTATTTTTTTTAGTTCTTTTATCAATTACTCTGTTAAGTTTATCTAATTACACACTTTTTTAATCTCTTAATTTAAAATGGATGGACGAAAAATATGCATATATTAGAAGTTGAGGGATTAAAAATGATTATTTTAAACTTGTTTTTAGTTTATAAAAATATAATAATTTTAAATATTAATATCTCTTATTTTATTTAAAATTTGATATTTAATTTATAAAAATATATATTTATAATGATAAATCCAAAATTATATACAAAAAATTTTGGTATCCGATACGTACCGTTATCGGTACGCATACCAGTACGGTATTGACTCCCTTGATACATTCACCTACAAGAAAGTAAGAACATGCAAAGCATATATGATGGGAAAAAATCATAATGTTACTCTTGATTTGCTTTTGTTTGCAGCATGGATAAGTCCTCCAAATCTACAGAGAAACGTGAGATCAATTTTTTGAGCGATGATCAAAGAGATTTTCGTAATTCAAGTAACAAGAATGAAACTAACAAAAAATATGATAGTTCGAAGGTTGAAGGAGGTTCTGGAGGTTCGACTTCAAACAAACAGTCTTCCAAAAACAAGAACAAGGATATTCTTAACAAAATTGCTCACAGTTTCAGTAGGAGATAAAATAATTAATAAATATATATTATAAAAAAATCATATAGATGTTTTCTATGTTTTTAGTTTTTTTAAGTTTCAAGTCCCTTATTTTGTTATATAATTTATATCAAGTAATAAAATTTCTCTAGCGTTATTTTTCAAAGAGAGAAAAAATCTAGCCATACATGTATATTCTGTCTTTTTATTCTCCTTCTTCCATGAAAGACCAAGCAAATCATTAGAATCAAAAGAAGGGTATTTACATTAGTTGAATTTAGTTGAATTAAAACTAAACCCTCTTCTCCTTTTCCCAAGTTTTTCTTTAGCAACAAGACTTGCCAAAAACCAATCTTTCATGAAACTCCAAAAACGTTGTAGGGGTTTACTAATCAAAAGAAAATGGTTATAATTTTGGAAGACTCTTCACAATCTCCATATGCTCCTAAGGTTAATATCTCTCTCATAACATCCACTAAGAGAATAATTCTCACGTAATTGCAATGAATGTAGGCCAAACTATTTCAAATTATATAATTATTAGATGAAAGTTTAAGTTCTATAGAATTAAGGTGACTTTTAAATAGTCAAAAGTTAGTTTGAAAAAAAAAGAAAAGAGTGTTTTCTATAATGTCTTGATGTCTCGCCTCAAAATTAATACCCTTTGGCTAAGCGGTTGTTGTAGCGTAGTTTTAAGTGTCGAATCCACAGGAAAGCTATATTAAATTAACAAAAAAAGTTGTCATAATGAGAAATTAAATTAAAAGATGAATTCTAAAATTAACAATAAAAATATTTAAATAAAAGATGATAATTGTAAAAGATTGAAAACAATATTATG